TATCCACCTGCACCAATTAAAGTTTTAAGGTAGACGCCTTCAATTTGATTTGTTATTGTTGTGATCACCAGTCTTCCAGTTTGCATATATCATTGTTTTTCCTTTTGTGTAACCAACCATCTAAATTAAGGTTCTTGAGACGTAACGTGATGTAATCTGTAATTTTCCCTGCTCTGACCTTCCACGCAACTGGAGCGAGGAGAAATAAATGCCTATGTTCTGTTTTATCTGCTGGCTCTTCTTGGTAAGTCATCTATAAATTTTCCTCTGAACCATGATACGTCTAAATTTGTTCGCGCAATAGCCATGAAGTATTAAATCATTCCAAGCTAATGTTGAGACGCAACTTAGCTTTCTAGTTCTTTTGGAAATTGTCAAAATAAGAGCATAGCAAGTATCGTGTCTCTGCATTGACCCGCTAATTCATGGTTTATAATATTGATTGCTTCTAGAAATAGATCTATGCCGTACATATCTTATTCGAGGTTTTCACTTTGCCCTACAGACATGCGTACACACTTATAAATTGTATTGTGTGCAACGACATTCTTGGAAAATAATTTCCAGCTGAATTATGAGGTTTCAAACCGATGTTTCGATTGTAGATGGAAAATGACTGCATAAAAGATTTTTGTTTTGATCATACTAATGAAAAAGATAAGTCATCTGCAGAATTTAGTACCGACGGTGATAAAATGATAAGTGTCATCCACTGTAATTTATCAAACTTTAACTCTTGAAATGCTTTTGGGCAACTTCTTCCAGGATAATGATGTCAGCTCTTCTTATTCTTTGGCAACCGGAGGGCAGTGTGTGAAATGATCACCCTGATGAATTCTTCAAACATTCTCTTAACCCAATCACAAGACTTTGAAATCAGACTATTTATTAGGGTAGCATATAATTTTGATGATATTCTCTTTAGAGTACACATTTCCTTGATCTGATGAGCAATATATAATATTAGATAACATCCTTCCGACTTCCGAGTTCATCATAGTTTAGTATTATTGTACACTTCCAGACAAGGTGTACGTTTCGTTTCACATTTATAACCATTTGGTTGAGGCATGAATTCGGTCATCGTCATTACGCATGAGAGAGAGAGAGGTAACAATCTTTTATTTGAATCAGTCATACATGAGGTACATAGTATGTGTGTATAGCAACCACTTATGGAAACAAGGTTAATGTTGTAATTCAATTATTCATGTAACTTATGTTGGTCATAGATTCTTTTAGTTGTTGTCGTACCAAAACTGCGCCTGGAGGTAGTCAACAACCTTCTTGTCCACTTGGAAGGCCTTGGTGAGAACATCATCAGAAATGGGTGGCTTTGCTCCGAAGACAGCATTAGCAATGGTAATGACTCCTGGGTTTTGGCTGCTAAGACCAGCAAAGGCCAGCGCATATGTGTTTCCGATATTCAACTGGAAGTGAATGAGACCAATAGGGAACACAAACACGTCCCCCTTGTACAGGACTTTGGTGAAAAGAGTGTTGTTTAATTGGTTGGATGTGACGAAGCCAACAAGTAGCGTACCCTCCACCACGACGAGAACCTCGGTTCCACGAGGGTGAGTGTGGGGAGGATTTAGGCCGCCGGGAGCGAAGTCAAGGCGAGCCATGGATATTCCAAGAGTGTTGAGTCCTGCAAATTCGTTGACAGACGCCGGTGTGACTTTTGATCCGAGCGGATTCGATGTGTTTCCGGGATTCCTGAACCCCATAAAGACGAAATCATCAGCTGTGGCTTGTTTTGGGTCCTTGCAGAACATTCCATTCACGAATACTGTATAAGAAAAACAATTTGAGTAAAGTTTCGACATCATAAGGCAGAAGTGAAAGACACGAATAATGCAAGAATGGAGGACCAACCTCCAGAGCTCATGTCATTAGTGGCCACGCATATGTCCTGAAGAGGACTCGGGTCATAAGCAAGAGCAGTGGCAGTTGCCAAAGCCAATATGAGAAAGCTAATCGGGAGAAACTTCATTGTGGCTTTGGATAGGAGTTAGGGCCTTGATCTCAAGTTCTAACCTTTGCACAGACTAGTATTGCTTGAGGGAGGAGTGAGAAGTTGAATGGCAACATGATCTCTCTTTATAGAAGAAAATGTTTGCTCCAGTATATAGTTTATTTAGCAAGTTTCCCTGCCGATTACCAAGTCTTCAGAGGTTTTGTCTATTACCCCCTTCTCAAGTCCAAGGATGAATTACTCCATAACAACTACCACGACTCGGCGATTTGTTTGACTTTGTCTCCTTCTGCTTAAATAATGCGTATCACCTGATACGGAAATGGTTTTTGATGAAGGTTCCATCGTTGTACCTTTTCATCGTTTCTTTTACAACTCTTTAGCATATCTCAAAGAAGGGTACCAAGTAAAGTGCATTTCTTGTGACAAGTCTAGTATCCGGAAAGGATTGATTAATCGAGATTGCAAAGGAACAATTTCCACACGGAAAAATTACCCAAAAAACCGTAAACCAATTGCACTTGTGCCAATTTAGTTCTAAACTTTTCAATTTAGTCGAAAGTTATTGAAATAGATGCTGGCCGTCCTACATGGCATGGCTAGCGCTGACGTGGACAATTTTTATAAATTTTTAATATTTTTTAATTTTCTTTTGTTTGGTTTTCTTTCTTGTTTTTTTTTTTACAATTCTGGGCTGGTGAGGGCCAGTAACCCTTGCCTAGCTGGGCCAAGGCGCCATTGTCCTTGTTGGCCATGGCGAGGTGCTCACGAGCCTCACCGGTCAACATGCAGGGCTCATAGCCCTCTCTTGCATCTGGGCAAGGGTATGTAGGACGGCTGGCATCCATGTCAGCAATTTTTGGTCAAAATTGGCCGGATGAATTTTATTTGTAAATTGTCAAAAGTTTAGAATTTTATTGGTACAATTGAAAGATTTATGACTTAATTGATACAAGTGCAATAGATTTATGATTTTTTTAGTAATTTTCCTACCGACCTATGTCGACGAACCTGATTTGTATGGGAACAGGGAGGGAGACGATTTCCAAAGTCAGTACGAAGCTCGTGGCTTTGGCTGAGACGAAGAGGACGACTATGATCATGCCCTCACCCAGAATCATTATGGCGGGCGATGCGGGAAAGGTGGTCGTGGTGGCGGTTGGTAGAACCGCGGAGGTGGATGAATGCGGCTGTTATGACCACACGGATTAACGACGGGATTGAAGTTAGGATTACGATGCTAATCAGTGGAATCGTGGTGGTGATGACCGTGCCCATTGGAAGCAGGGGAATAACAACCACGTAGGAATTGAATTTGCAAAATGCCCTATTGAGAAGGTTGTTCATGGGCAAGAAATTGAAAATTTTGGAGTTTTCTTACGGAAAGTTGGATGATTTAGAGCTGGAAAAAGAATTTCAATATTTTCGCAGTGGCAAAGAGTTTATCCTTGTTTCAATTGCGTCATTTTGTTAGATAAAATAATGGATATGTTTGTTTTCATAATTTTATATATAATGTTATTATCTCAATCTTTGAGAATATCAAGATCAGATATGGGCAAGGAAATTGTCCAATTAGTGCAAGCTTATTGCCTATTAAGTCATAAACTATCTAATTTTGTCAATTTAGTCCTAAACTTTTGCGCAAAATTCAATGTTGTCCTCTGTGTCAATTTTCACCGGAAACCGCTGACATGACGATGTACCACATAGGACAATCGACAATAATAAGACCACAACGTCAGCCATTTCGGGCAAAAATTGGCTAGAAGGATTAAGTTGAAATTTTATGCAAATGTTTAGGATTAAATTGGCAACATTGAGAAGTTTGTAACTGAATTGACATTCATACAATAAGTTTAGAACTGATTGGGCACAGGGCCTAAAACAACTAGACCAGGGCATTTAGATAGTTCAAAACGATGACTTGTCTAAATACGAATTATAGCCCAAGATTTAGTCTAAACCTAACCAAGAAATACCTTTTATTTTCGTGTATTTTCGTTGTTAAGGTAAATTTTTTTCCTAAAATGGAAAAAAGATATTAATTCGAGTTATGTTGTCCTAGGTATTATCCATGCAGAAGGGCTGCGAGACATCATAATCGTGGAAACTTCTGCGTGATCACCATTGACATCCTACATTAATCAGAATCTTTTGAACAAGCAAGATTACGAATAAATGCTATAAAGTAGACATTGGAAGATTTTTTTTTTTGGTCGAAAGACATTGGAAGATTAGTGGGGGGTAAACGAGAGTAAAACAGGTCACAAGCCATAACAGAGGGCCAACTACCATGCAACTTGTTTGGCATGATGAGTCGCATATTTAACTCTGAAGTTATTCATCTATGGTGTGTGTTCTTCTTGATCGTGCCATTAATTGCATTGGGAATCCACTCGTTGGATCATGTAAGAAATCGAACTTTACTATACCCTCTTTTCACTAAACAAACACCAGATGGCAGTGCATGTTGAATTGGCATTGATTAGAGCTCTCTCCATTCTGATTTTACATTTGGTATATCCTCTTTCGCAAAAGGAAAGGTATTGCATAGAGAGCTTCATCTATTATATCATAAAAATCTTCGTGCATATTTTCACTCTTTTGACTTTTTGCTTTTTAGTCATTCATCCTTTGACAAATTTTTTCCTTGCTACCAACTCTTTATTCCTAGAATTATTTTTTATTCATCACTTCACCCATACACTATTTTTTCTTGTCATTCATCGTTTCATCAGTTTGATAAACCATGCAATCATTTTCATCCTTGCATCAACATTAGCAGAGAAAACTGAACTACTCTAATAAGTACACTATAAGCCATGCATATGACATGCTAAAAATTTTAAACTTGTTGCACGTTAAAAACACCGTGGTTGTGATTAACCATATTTCTTATCATTCATCTTTTTGTTTTTCCGTTTGGGAAACACATGGAGAACTCGAACTTACATGATCTTCAATCTTTTCAATTTATTTTCCAGGAAAACCATCCTGCCGAATTTGGTGCTCCAACGACACGAGAAAATGGCAAGCCCCAGCACGAGGATCGACGATGGACGTGATGTGGACAGTGATAACTCCGGACTGATGAGAGAAAAGTTATCCGTGTTGATTGTGGATGATGAATTGCTGGTGCGTAAAGTACATGAGAAACTGTTGAGCAAGCTCAAATTAGCAAAACAAGTCCAGACTCAAACTGCCACAAATGGAAAGGAGGCCTTGGATCTTCACCTCTCTGGTTCATCTTTTGATATTATTCTCATGGACCTGCAAATGCCCATCATGGATGGCACAGAAGTAAAGATTAATTAATTCTTCATTCTGTCTCATATTTGACACATACATATGTACAATATCAAGTGGAGCAATGATGTACAATTTCTTCCTTGTTTTCACGTGTGTAGGCGACGAAGGAGCTGCGAGCGATGCGGGTAGAGAGCATGATCGTGGGAGTGACTTCGGTTGATGCCGGAGCCGACAAGGAAGCTTTCATGGAAGCAGGTCTGGATAAGTGCCTTCCGAAGTTACTGACTGCTGATAAGATCAAGTCTCTTGTTGAAACCCTAGAGAAGAACAAATAGAGATGTGACCATGGTCAACGGGTAACTAAAGGAATAATAATGAGTGATCGTCCAAACTATAGAGTAATAGGGTTCACGTAAGTTTATTTTTTTATATAGATCTATGACTGAGTATGGTAACATGAGTTTTGTAATCATGCAAGTCATTCACTGATTATATCTACTGCTTAGTGTTCGTCCTCTCTCTTGCGTGATGAAGATCGGTAGCTATTATTGAGATCAACCGAAGATTTACTGCTTGCCGTCAACATATATAGTTTCTGTAATGTTGTAATTTATTTTTTATTTTCAGTTTTTTATTGATTAGTTATGTAACTATGACTGATTTACCGATAGCAAACTCCCACAGTTTTTTGTTTATATATATAAAATCATAGTATAAAAATCACGATGACAACATTTCTATTCTGCATTGTTCAATGTTGACATGGTGTGAGAAAATTAGAAGCACGTGATGAAACCAAATTGGCATTCAGTTTAGACAAAATATTAAACCTGAGGACATAACTATGATTTTAATTATCCAATCATAGGCTAAGCTTTCAATTATTTTGGAATCGATGCTCTTCAGCTATTATCTGACTACTTTTTCTGCGAACATGATGTGGCAGCTTGTGTGGCATAGGCCCGTTTATTGGACACTTGACACTGATCATACAAAACCAATTAGATGATATAACGAAAAAACTTTGTTTAAAAAATGTACTCATTTCTTTCAAAATGCTAGAAGGTTAGGAAACCTTGCTTCGGCAAAGTGTTGCTAGCCCTCTGCCATCCGTGGAGAGGACGTGCAAGCCGTTGCTCTGCAATTTAAGGAGGGAGGGAGGGGATAGGGGCTTTATGGTGCTTGTGAGTGTGGCATGATCTTCCTGGGCCGATGTTGCACCGGGGACGATTGATCCTCGCCACTGGAAATGCTAGGGGGCGGCAACCATGTTAGAACATGGCCTAGGCCGCAGACTCTACCCTGCCACCGCTGAGGGTCAAGCCACCCACCCTAATGATTGCAGGGGGTGGCGGCACCCCCTGGGCACCCTTAGTCATTGTCATACCAAAACTGTGCTTCAAATTAGTCAATGACCTTCTTGTCCACTTGGAACGCCTGGTGAGCACATCTTGGGAGATTGATGACCTTGCTCTGAAAATGGCATTGGCAATGGTAATGACTTCCGGGCTCTGGCTGCTCAGACCAGCAAAGGTTAGTGGATACTTGTTTCCAATGTTCAGCTGGAAGTGAATGAGACTGATGGAGAACACAAACACATCCCCCTTGTACAGGACTCCGGTGAAGAGGGTGTTGTTCAAATGGTTGGAGGTAACAAAGCCCACGAGGAGTGTGCCCTCGATGATGACGATGACCTCGGTACCCCAAGGGTGAGTGTGGGGAAGGTCTAGGCATTTGGAGCGAAGTAGATGCGAGCCATGGATATGCCTAGAGTATTGAGTCTAGCAAATTGGTCAATAGATCAATTTGGGTTGGACCATTTTTGACCCAACCCAAATCTAACCCGACCCACCCCACCCCATCCCACCCGTTTGACAAGTTTATAAATAACAATGCTTTTTTAATTTTTTAAAACAAAATTTTCTTATTCTATCCTCTAGTTGGTTTTGTATGATCAGAGAAAAGATGACAAATTAATTGAGCCATATAACTTATGATATCATTCGTAGTTTTCACAAGAGATTGTAAAAAGTAAATCAATAATTCATCTCAATGGTCATTGAGCAATAACATATCATCTACTAAGGAACTCTCCACCCCAATCCCACCCACCCACCTCTCCTTGTTTTGAGGAAAGTTTAATATGGAAAGTTCAAAATAAGTGGGAGACCAAGACTCACTATAAGAAAATTGAAGTCACCTACCACATATCATACAGAGCAGGTGTTCGGTGGAGAATAGAGTGCACCTCAGCCAGAGAATTTTCTATACTTCACAAGCAGAGAAGGACAATTATCTCATGAAATTCCAATATCTAAAACGGTTCGGATGTGAAGCTCACAGGAGAAGTGCAAGTTAAAAAGTCACTATCATCCAGACAGACATCTTCAACAACTCTCCCATTTTTTCATGTCACATTAAATTATTGTTGACTCCAGGCCATAGCAGAGCTGACCGCAATAGTGGTCTCTGCTTATTTGCTATTTCTTCGTCTGAATCATCCCAATCTTGCATACAAGGTTTTTCTTGTTCATCCCCTTGAGTCCTGATTTTACTTTATCAAAAACTTCAAAGTTAAAAACAGAAACAAAATTTGGTAATCTGGGGAGGATTAACCTAGCTCTTTGGTATTTCCTCAGCGTTAGTCACATCCTTCTCTTCTGGCAATAAAATATTTTAGACTCACTCCATGTGTTCAATTTCTTTGTGTTGTGGGTCCAACTGTTTGATATGATAGAATGAGTCTAAACAATATCTTCTTCCTTACAACAATGTTGAGCACACGAAACATTATCAGATTTTTGTCGAATAAGTGAGATGGCAGTTTGAATTCCAAGAAAGAAAATCGATTAGCTGCACCATTGTTCTGTATCTGAAGTGTGTTGGCAAAAGCATCACTATATGAGAGGAGCTATTAAGATGAGTATATTAACATGATCAATTTGCTTCCGGTGCAGTGCTTGTGAATGAGAAATTTTGCAAGGACCCCAAGAAAGCCACAACAGATGATTTGTTCTTCATGGGGTTCAGAACTCCAGGGAACACCTCAAACCCACTCGGATCGAAAGTTATGCCCACTTTGTCGACCAGTGGACAAGTCAAAATGGGTCGTAAATGGGTTTAGACCTAGGTGTTAAATGTGTTTACAACTTACTTGGACTCAACCCATCTCTATGACTCTCTCTTCACTCCCTCTTGATCTCGCACTCACTCACTCCGTGTTTTCATCTTAGTTTGAGTATGAATTTGCTTCAATTGGGTTAAACATGAGAGTGTTTTAGCAATATAGGTCGGGTCGTGTATGTGTTGAATATGGATGGGATCGGGTATGAGACAATAAATTTGTATTACATGAAAATAGATCAAATTTTTTTTTACAAATAATAGAAGGTTAGGAACCCTCGCTTTGGCAAATTGTTGCTAGCCTTACGCCATCCAAATGGGTCAAATATTTTTTTACAAATAATAGAAGGTTATGGACCCTTGCTTTGGCAAAGTGTTGCTAGCCTTCCGCCATCGAAGAGAGCACTAGTAGGCCTTCGTTGTGTGGTGTCTAGGGCTCAGCCAGCCTCGCTGAGGACTGGCTAGGGCTCTTGAACCTTTTTCTACAATTTGGGGGCTCATGATCCGTAACCTTGCTGTGAGGGTTGTGTTGAAAGCCCTTCCTTGCCTTCGTTAGGGCTAACCCAGCAATGATTGACCCTTACAACTGGAAATACTATGAGGCCATGACCCTTCTAAAGCATGGCCTAGGCCTAGCAAGGCCTCAAAGAGTGCCAGGTGGACCCTACCCCCCACCGTTGAGGGTCAGGCCACCCTCCCTAATGATTGAAGGTGGTGGTTGGGTGGCGGCACCAACTTGCCTGAGTTCGACGAGGTTGCTTGACCTAAGTTGTGCCTCAAGAGGGACACTGGACCCTTGTGAGCAAGATTGGGATGTACAGAAATCTGCACACGTACTCTCTCTCTCTCCACAAATATTTTCTTTGGTACTTTTGTAATTTTTATTCTAGTGTGGGGCCACATCCAAAAACATTTTTGTATATCGCTACATCAATGATTCAACAACAGGAATACCACTAAAATGACGGGATGACTGTATCACACAAATATGTGTAAGTTAGAGACTTAATTTCACAAAAAGATTGTTAACGGATCAGATCGCTTAAACAAGAATATTTAAAGGACTAGACTGTAGTTAATCCCCCACAATAAAGTATTAACAAGCTATTATTTTAAGGTGTTCATATAAGAGTATTAGTGAAATAGCATCCACGTCCGATATGTGTCGAGGTGAAGAGCAATTAATTTATTCAGTTGATACTAAATATGTTGGCTTAAGTTTTTGTTAAAGATGAGTGTTGAATAAGTTAGTAAGCCTACGTGGGCTCTCTCCAGGTCTTCTACATGGCGACAAGTGCTCTATTTGACAAATCTACAAATATAATGCAAGTTTAGTTTTAGACACCATGGACGAGTCATTCCACAACAACTACAAGCACGTGTCCATTGATTAAAGTTCCTGTTTCTCAGATAAAGAAATGAACAGCAACCTTCAAGAAACGGTGCAACGACCTGGGACTATATCCATGTAGGACAAGTCTTGAAAAGGAACATGCGAGGGATGGCTCTTATCACGACCATTCATGTACTAGTGAAGGTGATTTGACGTGATCTAGGGGCAAAAAACCAAGCCAAGTCATCGGTGCAACGACCTCCTCGCGCTCCGCTGCTTGGCTTGGACCGTCACACTCTCCATCCCTTATGGGCACAGCGCCCTCGCTGTGGGCTCACACTCGGTCGGAAGTCGGCTCTGATATTACATGTAACACCCCGGATCTACACTGTGTAATATTATCCACTTTGAACCCACTGACCCTCACGGCTTTAAAACGCGTTACATAGATATAGAACCCCGAACCTTATAAGCCTGTCCAGGACTCCCCCCTAGGCGATGTGGGATAAGAGAGGCTCGCCCTTCCCTGCGCACGTCCGAGGACTGAGGCGCGAACGCACCGCCATCCCTCCTCCTCACGCTCCGCCGCTTGGCTTGGGCCGTCACACTTAGATAATTGCTATCTGACACCTTTTCAAAGCTCAACTAGTTTGAGTAAGGACTGATACTATATTGGCTCTGCAAATGTTGTTGAAAGGGTCAATCTCCATGTCTTAGGAAGATATGCTTTCACATTCCTGAAAGAAATAGTCCGTGGTTGCTGATTTTTATCCTTGTTAAATTAGAAATTTGATCCACTCTGTTATTTGGAGGAAACTACAAAGACTATTCTGAGCATATGCTTGCTTGCAATGCACTTCATATGTTGGACTAAAAATTTGTCTTATCCAGGACTAAATCATTTCTTCAGGTTGTTTCACATGG